ATCTGATTTCTCTCAACATGGGGACAGGAGAGCTGCCAATCAAAAAAAAAAAAGACAACAAAGAAAAAGTAACTCAGATATTCTCTTGTAAATTAAAAAGTAATGCGTTACTTTACTAGTTACTTGAAAAAAGTAATCTGATTACGTAACTCGCGTTACCCCCAACACTGATTATAAATGTTTTTACTGTAACTTTTGATCAATTTAATGTGTTCTTGATGAATAAAAAAAAAGAAAAAAAAAAGACGACTGTTACTCTTTACCTGCAAACACATGGACGTTGTCCGCTATGCTGGTGGTCATCTGTCGTTCCTGTACTCTGGTGATGCGTCTGCGGGGAAAGACCACCACAATGTCCACCTCACTGAGACCCAACACACTTCTGATGGCCGAGCCGCCCGTGTCGCCCGACGTACCTGAAAGAACTGCATGTCTGAATCTCCATCACAGGACACAGGACTTCAGAGCAGATGTGAGACGGGCGTCACTTCATACCTACTAGAATTGTGGCCCGTTTGCCATCTTTGCGCAGGAAGTACTGCAGGAACTGAGAGGTACAGGACATGGCCAGATCCTTAAACGCCAGCGTTTCTCCATGAAACAGTTCCAGGATGGACAGCGAGTCCTTCAGCTGAACCAGTCTCACAGCTTCAGGTATGGAGAAGCTAGACAGCGCCTGCGAAATGAGCCCTAAACAGAGACAGACAGCAGGAGGTTTGAACTGGTTCATGATGTCTGATGAGTGTTTGGTCCAGGACGAGTCTCACCCTCTAGATCACGTCGCGGTATCTCCTGCTCAGGGATGTAGAGGGAGCAGATCTCACACAGCAGCTGCTGGTAGGACAGACGGCTCCACGTGAGCAGTGTTTCAGGAGACAGTGATGGGATGGTCTCGGGCATGAACATGCCTCCATCTGCAGCGTATCCAGAGAACAGTACGTCTCTGAAGCTGCGGCCCTGAACGCCTGCACGCGTGCTGCAGTAATGCATCCTACAGAAACACCATTCACCAAAAAAATGCTGAAAAACTCCTCACCCTCAGACCATGCAGGAGGTAGATGAGTTTGTTTCTTCATCAGATTTGGAGAAATGTAGCATTCCATCACTTGCTTACCAATGAATCCTCTGCAGTGAATGGGTGCCAGACTCATTTGCATGGATTATGGACTCTATATTTTAGCCGGAAGCAACGATTTGAAGTTTAAAAAGGTCTTAATGATGGATTTGTTTCTTACAGACACGCAGTTTTTGGTTTCACAAGACGTTAATTGATGGACTGAAGTTGTGTGGATTGTTGTGATGCTTTATCAGCTGTTTGGACTCTCATTCTGTCGGTACCCATTCACTGCAGAGGTGTCACAGTTATGCTTATTTCAGTCTCTTTTGGTTTCAGTTTCATGGACTTTTAGTTTGTTCATAGTCAGTTTCCTTTTTCCTTCATCTTAGTTTCCCACCACTAATCTGTTTCCATGGACTCTAACTCAATCATCACAGCTGTTCATTATTAGCTCTTCATCAATGTGTATTTAAAGGCACAGTATGTAAGATTTTTTGGTAACACTTTACTTGAAGGGGTGTGCATA